AAAACAGAAAAATAACAATTGGCTGAAGGATTAAGGAAAAGGAATTGATGGGCCTAAAGACTGTGAAGTTCCAAGTTTGACAGTGATATATACAAGGCTATAGCATGATATGCAGGAAAAGAAATGTGCGAGAAGGTGTATTTATTTATTCAGAACAGTGTTTCTCAACCTCAGCAACTTTAAGATGTATGGACTTCAACTTCCCAGCATGGGAATGCTGGCAGTTGAAGTCCACCCATTTTAAAGTTGCTGAGGTTGAGAAACACTGTTTCAGAATATTAACCTATCACACAGTATGAAGTTCTGAACTTTTTCAATAAAAAGTAAAACATAAGCATGAAATTGGAGGTGGATGATAGATGAACATTGCATTTACCTGAAAGGAAGACCCATTTGACTCTCATATGACCCTTCCATTGTAAAGGTATTGGGGGTGTGTGTGTCACAAGTCTTCCTTTCAGATACAGTAAATATAGATGACTTAGCATAAACTATGGACTATGATTGTCACCTGTTTTACATCTTGTCCCTAACATCTAAATGCATGACAGACAAAAATAACTAGATAAGCCCTTTCCATCCAGAAGTGATGTAACTTTAGGGAAAACTTCACCCGTTGACTTCTGCCTGCCTGTTTAAAAAGCCCCAAACTTAATACACGGAGGGAGAGTACCAAACAAGCTGGAAAGGAAGATTTTGAAAAACCCAAGTACATTGGCGCAGAAGACAGAGTCCTCATCTCAATGAGCGGAATGCCTTTAGTCACGGAAAGATCCGGGCTTCATACCAACTTTGGACAGGGGGGGACGCAGGAAAGGGGCGGACCATGGCAGGGGGTGAGCCGAGGAAGGCTGGCGCGAGCGAGGGCTACCTTGAAGTAGGCGAACTGCAAGAACTTGTAGGGCTCTCGGCGCTGGAACTCGTCCAGCACTTCCCGGCTGGGCTGAGACTGGCGGAAGGCCGGCAGCCCTTGCTTGCAGCGTTTCAGGCACTGCGCTCTGCGCAGCATGTCGCCGAAGTAGCGCAGCTCGGGAAAGCCGTCGAAGCGCTCGGGCGGGAGAAGCCCCCGGGCGTCCGCGCCGGGCTCCTTCTCTTCCTCCATGCGGGCGGAGCTGCAGTTGAGGTGACAGAAGGCCTCGCTGTCCCGCAGGAGGCGGTAAAGCCGCAGGCTCATCTCCAGGTAGCTCACGCTCTCGGGCCAGTTCTCGTTGCTGTACTGGTCCAGGCCGTAGCGGTAGGCGGACTCCAAGGGCATCAGCTCGTCGCGCGGGAAGCTCCTGAAGCTGTAGCGCTCGTACTGAGCCCGCGCCCCGGCCCAGAGAAGGCAAAGAGCGGCCACGAGCAGCCGGCGCCTCCACATCTCTCCAGGCTTCAAGCGCAACCGGACACCACGTAGCAAGAGGAAGAGGGGAAAAAAGTTGAGCCTCCCCGTCCCACTCCGAGAACCAGGCGGGGACCCTGAAGGATTGACGTGCAGTTGGAGCCCTCCTCCTGGCGCACGCTGGGAACGTCGCTCAGTTTTTGGAGAAGCAGATGGAGGCGGGGGGGTGGGAACCAGGCCGGACCCACGGGCGGCGCGTGGTCCGGCAGCAGTTTGATCGAGGGATCTCGCGTAGGAGGATTGCCGCGGAATCCGAATAGACGGCATCGTCGGATATTTTAGGAGTTGAACATCGCGAGCAAGCTGGCGTGCAAGAAAACTGGCCTTGTCGTAAACTCCTTTTCCGTCTTTTATATCGCAGGATATAAAAGATCTTCCGTGCCCTCCGCTTTTCCATGAAGAAGGCACCGAGGAGGTTTGATTTCAAAACTGACTGTGCTTTGGAAACAAAGAATCGCGCACGAACATGAATGTTGTTCTTTTTGTATTTATATATCTATTCACTTAAACCAGTGTTTCTCAAAGTTGGCAACTTTAAGATGTGTGGACTTCAACTTCCAGAATTCCCCAGCCAGCCAACATTCCCCAGCCGGAATTCTGGGAATTGAAGTTCACACATCTTAAAATCACCAAGTCCACACATCTTAAAGTCACCAACACTGACTTAAATGATCACCGACTACTTCTTGCACTCTGTGAAGTTGGCTCTGATCCACAAAAGTTTATGATATTCTTTCCTTCTTGGGGTCTCTCCAGATCTGTTGGACTACCACTGCCAGAATTCCCACTAGCCATGTTAAATAGGAATCCTGGCACTAGTAGTCAATTCATCTGGTGGTCATACATAATACTTAGAAAAATTCAAATGTATTTTAAGTAGCAAATCTTGTCTAACATCTGCTTCTGTTGCCCTGTTTTGTTAAGAAAGTAGCAAATCTGATTGATAACCTTGTACGTATAAAGCAATTCCTGAATATAAACTATTCCATTCCAGTGTTGCTGATGGTTTGGCAGGCCTCATTAGCAAATTATGCATTATGTGGCTGCTCAACTTGGTTGTCTTATTCTCTTGCTCTCCATTTCTCCACAGAGCAATAATTGTCACGGTAACTCTTATAATTAGTAGGATTATTAATAAAACTGTTAAAGAGAACGGTTAGATTCCCGTGAACCTCAGCACTTTAAAAACACAAGTTAAATTTACAAAGAAGGCATACTATTGGCACATTGGTTTTCTATAAACAAGTTTTTAATATTTTGTTACAATTATTTATTGATACCAAAACAGATAACTCATAGTTACCTGGTTAAACAATTGGTGTTATGATACTTTGAATAATTGTTCAACTGTATTTCCAACTTATATTTTGTTTATTTTATAATGAAGTGTTTAAAATAATTTTTATATTTTATTGAATAATGTACAGGTAGCCCCAGGGTTAAGAACCCCTGGTTTAAGAATGGAGCCTATTGTAGCAAAATTCGAATTAAATACACAATGATTTGACTTAAATACACAATGATTCAAGTTAATTACGCAATCCTACTTACACAGTATTATACAATAATACTGTTCTGGCTTACCTACAGATTCGACTTAAGGACAGACCTTGGGAACAGAACTTGTTCTTAAATGGGGGACTACCTGCATTACCATTCTGCTTTGGGGATTATTTATTTATTATGTCATGCTGCTTTTGTGATTTTTTAAAATATATTCATAATGTCTATTTCATCTTTCAGTACATAAGAACAATATGACTTACAAAACTGAAAAGAATGTGCTATAACTATGGAAAATTTTTATTAAATGAAACATGTTAATGTCTTACAATTGTTATGATGTTACCAATTTGATCACAAATATTTGACTTCTTTAATAAAGAAATATATATTCCATCTTTATACTAAACATAATGATCAAAATACTAGTGCAATCAAAATAAGACCATGACAAATAAAACTAAGAATAAAATTATATTAGATAAAAGATGTTCATAAAAAAGTGGTATGAAGGATACCCAAGAGCTAAGTATGTTAATAAAAACAAATCTGTTTTTTCTGGCTGATAGCAATAACACAGAAGGATCATGCCTACCCTCCTTAGCCTGATTTCCAAAGATTGCTTTCCTTAAATTCCCTTTCAAAAATAGTACACCCTGTAAAGATAATACAAATTGCCAGGTGCAGTGTTCTGAGATTTTGTAGCAAGCTCTTTTAAGAAATTATGGGAATTAATGAGTTTAATTAGCTTTGTTAATGGATTTGACATAGCTGGTAAAGGTGGCCTTTGAGGCAGAAGTCAGCAAGATAAGCAGCGTATTTGAAAAGTTCTGGGGCAATGATGGTGGAGGGCATTCATTCCTTCAGCTTCAAGTGAGGAAGCATAAAGACACTGCTTGGGCATGGCCCTTGCCACTCTGAACGCTGGAGCTAAGCAGTGTAGGGTCTAGTTAGTACTTGGGGAGGTGGTCTACCGTGTGACGTAAGCTTTTTGCTTTACTCCGTGGGCTCCTCCATCCTCTTACCCTCCGAGTCTCCTTTTTATTCCCCTCTTTATGTTCTGGCCTGAGCCGGGCAATTGTGAAGAGCTAAGGGGAAATGCCTTGGAAAGAGGCCCGACTCCCTTTCTCTGCTCTCAGAGCGCCGCCTTTGCTTCCTCTGGCCCTTCAGGGCGTCTATCAGATGCCCACCCCCCCCCCCCCCACCCCCCAGCTACACCACACGAACTCGAGCCTCGCCCCGACAACAGGGGAGGC